AGTAAATGACAATTTGAAATATTCCCTTACCCCATAATAAAATTATGAATTTATATAAATATAAATATGGAAGAAAAAAATTCCTTCTATTTGTTATCATACGAATATAAGTATGAAAAAAGTATGAAATTTGCTCAGAATGTATGAAAAAAGTATTACAAGTGAGCTTACATATTAAGTGCTTTGTAGCTTGTTTTGACTATCAGTATTCATTGTTACATGTTTAGTAGTTTGTATAACATTTAAAAGAATATATGTTGCTCAAATTGTTCAGTATTATCATATAGTTTATCGTCGTTGTAAATATGAGAAAATTTTACATCAGTATTAAGATCTGTATACTCTATTTTTATTTGCTGTGATACTTTTTATTTTGTAAATAAACCAATTTCATACTTCAAACTTGTTCATATTGTATAGTTGGTATAAGCTTGTGTTATATTCTTTTATCTCATTTTCCATAAAGAAGATGAACCAGTTAGTCACTAATCACATGGTGTATGACAACCTTTCTCTCTAAATATCGTACATGGAACATCCTAACGGATGTCCTATTGAAATTTTTATGAAAACGAATATTGACCTGAAGCTTCTGAAGACTTTCTGAATTACTGAATGAAAATTTTCTCTGCTAAACTGAAATCGCCACTTCTGATGTTTGTGATGGGGTCGTATTACTTTAGTACACCTGACCGGTCGTGGTATCTACTGTCCTTTTATACTCAGTTGTGTCAGTTTCAATGTGAAAAAAACTGAAAATAACTCGATGGACAGACAACACTACGTGCAGGCAAAAGACGGAAAAAATCACAAGCAATAAGTTTAAAAATATTACATAGAAAAATACTTTAGCATCATGAACCGTACCAAAATTCGGGGCCGCGAAACTCAAAGTGATTTCTAATTCTGTGAAATCAATGTCGTGCTCAACAAAAGTTTACCCTTTTATTAAATAGAACAACATTCAATTACGTACAGATCTGTCCAATCAAGAGAAATATGTAAAGATGCCTGCCAGTGCTAGGCGGCGTCCAGCGGAAGAACTTCCGAATATTGCGGATATCATCACGACTCGATCATTGTGAATTCGACTTTTCGGATTTGATTAGAAATTAATTTGCATAATGGATGATGCCATCTTGGTGCCGTATACGGAGAAACTTTTAGTGATAGGGGATCAGGCGATTTTTTTATTTCTAGTATATCTCATTTCATTTTCATTTAAACATATTATTACATATAACAAAAAGGATCAAACACAAGTTATCACAACTTAGATAGTCCTCTCCTAAATATAATAAGTTATAATATATAAATATAAAGACATGCAACAACAACATTAGATAATTATAGATTTGTACAATAGTTAAAAAAAGAGAAGAAAGTTCACGATTTCCCAAAAAGATAAACAACAGTCCTACTTAAAAAAGCTTATTCATCGACATACTTAACTATATCAGTAAAAAAAAAAAGAAAAAGAAAAAGAAAAATACCTTTCTAAAGGTCAAAACGTTCACTTTTCCGAATAAAATGCAAGACTTCTTTAATTAAAGATGTATTTTGACTGAGCGTTAAATTTTCGTTTCCATTTAGTAAAGTACCAAGATCTAAAGACGGACAAAAAGTAGTTTGTCTAAAAGGTGAATTCTGATTTGTGCATAATGCGGACTTTCAAAGAAAAAATGAAATTCTGTCTTCAGTCAGACTGCCGCACCGACAGCTTTGATAATCAATTATATTGAATCTAAAAAGGTCAGCATTTAGAGTTGAACATGCATGTCTAAGCCTTGTTAATATAATGTTTGCCTTACGTTCTCCAACATAATAGTATTTTGGGGCTTTAGATTGATATGATATCTTTCGTAGATAATACTTAAATTTGGAGATTGAATCTACATTTCTAATTGCGCTATCGATTTTATTCCATTCTCTTATAGTATTGGGAAAATATGAATTTTTTGTTAGTTCTAATCTACAAAAAGGTACTATGAGGTCAGGATTGTTTCGAAGATTATATCCAGAAATAGTTGATACAGGAGGTGGTATAAGTGTTCGTAAATAATTAGGTGCTTGTCCATTATAAATATTATAGAATAACTGAAGTTTTCTTCGGTTTCTTCTATTAGACAAAGGTTCCCAACCCGTTTCAGAATATAAAATTTCACCGTTGCAATAATAAGGTAGGCCTGTGACAATTCTTGCAGCTTCACGCTGAAGTTTTTCCAACAGTTCAGTATTAGTAACACCACAATTATCCCATACTTCGCAACCATACTCGAATAATGGTCTTTTTTAATTAAATAGAGTTTTTCTAAATTTGAACGATTGAGCTTATATTTTAATTTTCTTAGCACGCCTAGATGATTTGATATGTTTTTAGAACATGATCGTTCCATTTACAATCTTCACTTAAAGTTATGCCCAAGTGTTTGTGATTAGACACTATCGGAATTTCTTGATTGTTTAATCGAAATGAAAGGTCATCTGGTCGTTGTCTGTTTGTGAAATATAAAATTTCTGTTGTTTTTTTTTGGATAAAAAGACATTAACCATGTTTTTGACAAGTTATTTTGTTGAGTTAAATCATTTGAAATATGTTCTTGTATTAAGGCTGGATTTCTACTAGAATAACCAAAGGAGGTATCATCCGCAAATAATCTACAGAGCGACGTTAAATTTACGCTAATATCATTTGTGTATATCAAAAATAAAAGGGACCCTAAAACTGAACCCTGCATGGGGAACCCCTGCAGACACTTTACCCACAGAAGAAGCACTGTTTTTATTGGCAACCTTCTGCTCTTGATTTTCTAAATAGCTGGAGAACCATTTTAATAAATTACAAGATATTCCATAGGCTTTTAATTTGAGAAGCAGGCCCTTATGCCATACTTTATCAAATGCTTTTGAAAAAATCGGCAAAAACAAAGCAAGTATCTTCCTTATTTTCAAGTGATTTAAAATTGAATTATAAATTTCCAAGAGTTGATGTGTAGTAGAATGTTTGGCCAAAAATCCAGACTAGCTGGTAAAGGTAAAATAGGCCATGTTCAACCATAAAATTATAAACCCGTTTATAAATAACCCTTTCCATGACTTTACCTACACAACTGATAAGTGAAATCGGACGATAGTTAGAGGGAATTGAAGGATCTCCATTTTTAAAGACTGGAATAAAATTAGCCAGTTTCCATTGAGTAGGATAAGTGCTTGTATGTAATGAAAAATTAAAAATAATACATAAAGGCACTGCTATTTCTTCTTTACAGCTGATCAGTAGCTTGTGACTAATCAGATCTGGTCCAGTCGCTTTCTTCGGATTTAAGATTTTCAGTATAACTACTTTTTGGCCCTGTTCAGGACCATATGCTCATTTGGTCCGACCATACGTGTATAGTCCAGGTAATTGGCACGATGAACGTTAAAAAGGTCTCACATAAATCAAGAGTTTCTAAAAATGAATTTTGACTTATTCAATCATATGGTAGTCATTTTTACATGATTAATTTAATAGAGTGAATATTACTTACAAGTAAGAATTATAGTAAACTAGTTTTAACATGGTCATTATCGATTTGTCTATACGAAACATAATATATCGACTTTGGAAAATTACTTCAAGAAATATCAAAATGAACTGTTAAACAATAAGTTAATTGCTTAACTCACAGGCACTTTGGTCATTGAACCCCCTTTCTTTTCTTTTTAAAATTTCTTTTGGTGCTTAAATTTGTTTTTATTAAATTGTAAATTCTTAAAATATTCTTATTGTTTTTGAGTAAATTTGTTATTGTGTTCTGTCTCCTATTCATACAATCATACAATGACAGTAAGATCGTATGAATAGGAGCAAGAACACATCAATTTAATGAAAATAAGTAGAAATAAGAAGAAATTTTGTTTCTGAAATAATAATTTAAACACTAAGAAAATAGAATAAAAAATCAATGCCCCAAACGCATGTCACGGTTTCACTTACGGACGAATATCGGCAGTATAAAGGCGATTTGAATTGACTCTTAGCGAATGCAAGACGACAGATACACCAAGATTTAGACAATATGTAAAAGATAACCGAATTCAGATAGTAACTTGTGCGGTTTTTTGTTCAGAGAATGAGCTGTGGGTTCCTGCAAAGAAAGATAGAATTATTCGAAAAATACCTATATGGTCTAAATACCCGTATATTCCGGCCCGTTAATAACATTAACAAGTATAATACTCATATGTTCCGACCATACGCGTATGGTCCAAATACTCGTATGGTCCGGAACAGCCCTATTGATGAATGATTTTGAAATAATTCCAATATATTTCTTTTCATTCAAATATATATCTTTAGATTATCAAATATACTTTATCTGAATATGTGAGAGACAAAATAATTGTTTACGTACGTCTACTTGTAAGTTTCAAATTAATACATTTTTGTTTGTATTCATAAGAAATTCACCTCATGGAAATGTATATCTTTCCTTCAAATATGGCCTATATCATAATTTTCAACTTTATCATTTCAATCATAATATCATCGCCATTAAAATTGCTCTTTTGTAAAATATGATGTATTGGTGTGTCATGAATAGCCGAGCTTAAGAGTTTTCATTTGAACAGTGTTGCATGAAATATTCATCGCTTTTATAGACATTGATCAAAATAATAAGGTCTGCAGCAAATTTGTGTAGGTTGGGTTTTAATTATTATTTTGTCCTTTTCTTTTTTTTTTTTACATTACCAATTCAAAAAAAAGTACACGAGTAAATGAGTACAAAAGAAAAAAATCACATGAGATACCTGGGAAAGATTAAACCAACTGACTGCATTTCTCACCAACAACTGTCATACTTGCATTGGGTGATGCTCATTGTTGAAGTTCGTACAGCGACCAGTAGTTGTTAACATCCTTATCCTTTAAATGTGTCTATGAAGGATAAGTAGTCTCAAAAGGCAATCATGCCACATTCTATCTTTGAATTATTCTGTTAAATTAAATAACTACATAAATAAAATTCGTTTATTACAAATTTAAGAACAGAAACAAAATTAAGTAAAATGCCTAATTAAAGAATGAACAAAATACATATGAATTAAAACAACCTAGATAACAAGGAGAAAGTCGTAAGTACTATTAGAAGTTTTCTATAATGATAACTTGGGGAGCACGTGTTATTTGAAATTTCAAGATATTCCTTTACTCAGTGAAATAGTCATTGGATACTTTGTTATAATTCTTCGTGTCTGTGTATTTTTTCATGGTGGTGTTTATGTGGGCGTGGTTCTTTGGCTTTTACTATAGGTGACTGTTTAGAATTCCTCTTCAGCAACTGATCTCCCATTATATCAAAGAACTGCCGAACAACATTTTGTTTCTTTAGCAATAATTCCCGTTGTCTTGGTCCTTTTGCTGAAGTATAAGAGTAATACGCTACAAATTGCCATATAGGACAGACATGATAGACACATATTTTATATATACCGGTATGTTAAGTTTTTATGTTAATAAGAACCAGACATTAACTATTTATAACCCAAATCTATATCTCGATGAAACAATACATATAAAGCCAATGTCATAGAAAAACACATTGTTTTAAACTTCACAATGACAATGTAATACTTAATGACAATGTAATACTTAATGACAATGTTGGTATCGGTTCTATGAAATTGTCATGATTGTGTGCTGTAACTTTTTCAATAGTGCATTATTTTCAATAAGTTTTAAAAGTAAGGGAGCTACTATTTGATTTTTATGGGGGGGGGGGGGGGGGGGGGGGGGGGGGGGGGGGGGGCTAGGATGAAATTTGAAAAAAATAGGCAGGACAGGATTTTTGAGTATAAAAAAAAGGCAGGATGAGATTATTTGCAAAAAAAAAAAGGCAGGATGACAATTTATGTAAAAAAAAAAGTCAGGATAAACTAAAATAAAAAGGGCAGGACCGAATAGAGTGAAAAATAAAAAGGCAGGACCGAATAGAGGGGAAAATAAATAGGCAGGACAACATTTTTCATCCTAGCCCCTCCATAAAAATCAAATGGTAGCTCCCTAACAACACCAGTTTTAAAAACTGCACATGGTGCGCACGCATAGACTTTCTGTGTCTAAGTAATGCTGGAGGCCAAAATATTTAGCCACCGTAAAGGACATAAAAGAGGGACGAAAGATACCAGAGGGACAGTCAAATTCATAGAACGAAAACAAACTGACAACGCCATGGCCAAAAATAAAAAGACAAACAGACAAATAATAGTACAGATGACACAACATAGAAAACCAAAGACTAAGCAACACGAACCCCACCAAAAACTGGGGGTGATCTCAGGTGCTCCGGAAGGGTAAGCAGATGCTGCTCCACATGTGGTACCCGTCGTGTTGCTTATGTTATTACAAATCCGGTAAAAAGTCTAATTCGGTAAGTCACATTCGTGAAAAGGGAGGGTATTGTAGTTACGACATAAGGAACATATCCGATGTCATCTGTGAAACGGTTATTCCATAACGGTCAACCAACTCGTGATGGCGTCCGTAAAATTTACGAAGGGATGATTTCAACTTCACCATTTGGAACTCTTGGTTTAATAGCTTCCTTGTGAGCAACAATCCTCTATCAAGGAAATCATGATAGGAAACACAAGCCCGGGAATATCGTATCAATTGGGAGATATATACTCCGTATGCAGGCGCTGCTGGAATGTTGCTACATAGAAATGGAAAGTTCACAATTGGGAAGCTGAAATCATCTCTTTTGTCGTAAAATTTTGTTTTCAACCGACCCTCATTGCCAATTTCTAGATGTAAGTCAAGATAGGAGGCAGACTTAACTGTATCTGTAGTATCCTTTATCTCTAGTTCGATGGGATAGATTCGTTCAACATAGTCACCAAATTTTGTATTATTTAGTGAGAGAACATCATCTATATAGCGGAACGTAGACTTAAGGATATTGCTAACTTCTTATCTTTCTTCCTAAGAAGTTCCTGTATGAAGTATGACCAAACTGATACAAGGAAAGTGAGCTATTCACAAGAGAGACACATTTCATAATTTGTATCAGCAAGTTCCAATATTAAAACAGTATGTCAGTACCGAAAAACAACACACAAGTACCGATTGTCATGCCAGGACCGAAATACTGAACAACTGGACTGGTGATTCCGTCGGGGATAATCAACCAGCAGAGGTATCGAACCAGTGGTAATAATAACATCAAAATGTACTTATTTTAATGTAAAAGGCTATATTAAAAGGTATAATTGTAGAATCATGATTAAAAATAAAATTGATTTAAACTATATCTTTATAACGCATTCCATTATAATTGTTATTTTGTTTGCTGTTGTTTTATTGAAGTTAAGAACTTGCACTTACGATCGACTAATTCTCGGATAAGATAATATCGTTCATCATCTATAACTGATGTTTCCTCGTGGTATTCAACCTCTTCCAATAAGTAAACATAGTATTCTGCTAGTCTGAAATAAAACATAAATATGACCAAATGTGTAGGTTAATGGTCAGCTAAAAACACAGACGATTCTGCAAGAAATACGTCTTAGTAAACAGGTTTTAGACATGAAAGCAAGTTATTCTACTTAAATGTGAAAAGGGAACATTATTTCGTCAAATTATTACTTTTCTGTCATTTTTAAAGACAATCCGGTACATGCATGTTTAAATGTTTCTATGAAAACCTCATGTTTCACCATTACTGTGTTATAAGCTTTCCGTAAACATCTGTGTTCACAAAGTTTAACTTATCGGAATTACATTAAGAAAAAATACCAAACAATTTCCTGCAAATAATATCAATGAAATGGTATTATAATCTTATAGATAACATTCAGATTTGAATTTGAATTTTATTTATTGATTTGAAATAATTGGTGTGACCCCAGTACTAAAGACCAATTTGATTGGGTAGGAAACTGTGTTCAATATAAAAACAAGAAGATGTGGTATGATTGCCAATGAGACAACTCTCCACAAGAGACCAAATGACACAAAAATTAACAACTATAGGCCACCGTACGGCCTTCAACAATGAGTAAAACCCATAACGCATAGTCAGCTTTAAAAGGTCCCGAAATGACAAATGTAAAACAATTCAAACGAGAAAACTAACGGCCTGATTTATGTACAAAATAATGAACGAAAAAGAAATATGATATACAGCAACAAAAACAACCACTGAATTACAGGCTCCTGACTTGGGACAGGCAAGTCCTGATAAGATTTTAACATAATGTCCGGAAATTAAAAACATTCAATTAAATAATCAATCAATCAATCAATCAAAATAATGATTATCTCCTACATTCATGCCCAAATATGTGCATCTGCTAAGATGGAAATATAGATTACACCACAACAACAAGTGTGTTACGATATTCTCCACTCGAGACAGTTATATTTTGATATTTAAAGCGCGAGGCTTGCCGAGGTTTTTAAATAATAAAAATTTAACTGTTGAGAGTGGAGAAATATCGTGATACACGAGTTATAGTGGTGGAATCTTTTTCTCTAATGATTTTTATCCTTCCTTTTCAAAGATTTGCAGAAGGATGTGTTCTTTATATGTGACGTCATCAGGCATGGTCGCCTTTTTTCATGACGTCACAATAGGAAATTCGGAGGAACCAAAAATATTTGACCTCATAATCAAATTTCGACCTATAATTTTGCCGAGAACAGATATTTCACTAGTGAGGAGAACAATTTTTTCACAATCGGTTGGTAAATGTGAAAATAGTGAAAAAATTAGAGAATAGTACTTTTGATACATACTCTTGCATGTCTTTATCGTCGTAATATTCCATAATTTCTTTAGCTTTCTGTACAATCCTTTTCTATAGAAAACAAAACAAAAACATTACCATTTTAGCCACCATACTTTTCGAATTACTACATTTTCATCTGTCTGTGTAATCTTTTGTTGTGTTATTTTTGTAACTTTTCAGGCAATGCAAAGTCATTTAAGCTACTTTTAATTGTATCTTGGGGTGATTTTTGTATTATTAATGGTTCCAAAATTTCTCTGAGGAAATATTTTGCTTCTGGTGATTAAGGCTAATCCAGAAGCAATAAATAAAGAAGGTTTGTTTGATTCAGAATACAGATATAATTTTGTGATCTCATAATGTTCAAAATGAATTCCACAGAAATGATCTTTTGATATCTACCATGACTTTAAATAACTTTTTCAGACTTTTCAAAATACAACACATAAAAAACAACATTTCCTTTGGATATTCTTACTTTTAAGAAAATCATTAAGTTAACCAAGTTAAACACATAAAGACCCCCATTAGGATTTTGTGCTTACCATTTTCTTCCCACTAGCGATTGTGTTCTTATTAGCTTTGATCAGCTCGTCCATTTCTTTCAAAAGCCCAGCCTACAATAAAATATGTGTATTTTAGAAAAAAGAAAAACTACAACTAATCTGTTATAGCAATAACTTATTCGACATTTTCTGACTGAAAGTGATTTTAATTCTCCCTGGTGTATTATTACAGAATTTTGATTGGTCTTACAGTTACAATTGTATGTAAACATTAACATACCTAGAACGTTAAATACAAAAAAAAGGCGATGTGGTATGAATACGACAACTATCTTCCAGAAATTAAAGAACGAGTATGTTATCTTTAGAAACTGGAAGATTGAGTGATTGATAGTTGTATGCTTAACGCACAGTGGAAAATATTTCATACACATTCATGACGACAACAAATTAACAATAACCACAATAGGTAGCTTTTGCCACGTGGTTGAATGAAGTGTAATTTTCGATTCCAAACTCCAAATATCTGTATCTTATAGCATCAGTCTTATAGACGCAGAAATGAAATTTTCTATTCAATTATGACATCGTTTCAACTTTAAATAAACGGATAAAAAATTCATATATTTTTTAGCAGCAGAAGATTTCAAACAACATTCAGCATCGAAATTGTCTTTTGTACACAATAGTTATTTATATAAGACCTTGGAAGTATGACTACATTTACAGTAGGTATGGAAGTCTGTCAAACAGTTTTGTTATTCTAATTCCACAGAGTATTGTTAGTTCGACAGGTTTCCCAATTGCATGCATTGTGAATAGTTGGTATATCTCAGAAACTGTTCAATCAAATTTGACTTACCCCTTCTGGTAAAGCCCCATTTTGCTGTCTTGTTATCCCAGTTTTATCAGTAATAAATGCCATTATTTCTATTTTATCGAATCTTCCCCCGTACATGCTCTTTCGGGGAATTTCATCATCGCTGTACCAGTATAAAGCTGGGAACGCCCTCGCTTTGAACCTGATCAAAATATTTACAATATACATACATAAACTCAATATACAACAAACTGTACTTAGACAAATAATTATACATATGTCAGTTTATGAATTTTGAAAGGGGGTTGGGTGACATGGGGAGGCTCATTTCTCAAATACCATATTTTTTGGAATTTCTTCTCGCTCCCCACAATTTTCCTCCTTTTTTCCCCAGACCCCACTTTTTTATGTATCAACCATCCCAAAACGGTGTCATCCCCTCAATCCTCAAATGATGTGAATGAATAAAAAAGGGACTGTTTTAAATCTTTCATAAACAAAAAATACTTACAGTCTCTAAAAGGGCAAAGTATTTAGAAATAACTAATGACAACCACTGACGAGGATCCTGACTTGGTACACCAATACGACGTGGTAAAACGGATTTTTGAAAACACAAACTTTTTAATCTCAACTAATTGAATATCAAAATGTCAAAAGAAAAATGTTCACTAAAAATAAATACGAAAAAAAGAATACCTTTATTGTTTGATATCGATAAAAAATGTTTTAAAAATTAGAAATTTTTGACTCCGCTTCATTTGTTGGTTTTACCACGTGTTAATTATTCGGAAATAAAGAACTTCAAATGTATTGAATAAAGCATTTAGAGACACACAAGCAAAATATCAAATGTATGTTTAAAAAGATGAATAATTATGTCCCGGACAATATATCCTTTAATAAGTTGATCTTGAGGGTTTAAGCTCACAAATAGGTTTAACCCAGTTACAGTATGTTTGTGCCTGTCCCAAGCAAGGATCCTGTAGTCCCGTGGTTGTCGTTGGTTGTTGTCCGTCATAATTGTTTTTCGTTTATTGTTGTATTATAAATCAGACCGTTGTTTTTGTATTTTGAATTATTTCTTCTTTGACATTTTTCATCCCGTGATCATATGCAACTATTCCAGTCATAATTACGTTCGATAACTCTGCATGTTACTGGTTTAATTAGGATTATGTAAAATTTACTAGTTACCCGATGAATGGTTTAAAGAAAATTGAAAAATATAGTTATTTCACCTCGGTTAATATCCATTCGAGGTCTACTTTTATAAATATAAAATAATATCGTAATGAATTTCATTGAGAATCTGACAACACTAATCAACATAGGTATTGTCAAAACATACATCTACATAGGTATTGTCAAAACTTACATCGTGATTAGGTGCCATGTTTGTTTTCTTTGATTACGTTGATGTTATGACTTAATATCTCCTTAGTCTAGCTATGTCCTTGGCTATCATTATAGTGACAATAACGTGTCATATTTAATTGCAATATAAACAGTGAAATTAAATTGAATTATTTGCATGGACAAAATAAGTGTCGAACATCGTCTACGTTTGAAAATTATTTGGTCGCCATTTTTTAAATTTTTTATAAAAAAACAACAGCATGTATCAGCTTTATCAAAAGGAACCAATGTTTGATTCTATGCTGCTTTAAGGTAAGACAATGACTGAAAACGCGAGCATCCAACAGTTATTTGATTTTCATTGTAACAATCTTACAAAATATATTTTTACCAAGTCGGCCCACGCTGTCAATGTGGTCGCCATCTTGAAAAATAATACCCGATTTTCTGAAAATAGCTAATTTTCAAATCAATTTGGAAGGGACGTAATAAAAAATTAAACTATTGCATGTACGATATTTCAAATATTTATGAATATAGTAATAAGCACATATTTCCACAATTTTTCCATCTGTTTTGTTTAAATCGCAATTTTAGGTTTAACACGACAGAAAATCCAATATTTATCGGAGTTGGATGATTTAACAGTGTGAATTATCGAGGCAACAAGACAAATTTTCAAAAGCAATTGGAAGGGAGAAGACCAAAATTTAAACTTTTCCAAAAGGCATAAATATATTTCTAAATATATGAGGAATTACTATATATTTCCACACTTTTTTTTATCATGAACTTAAAGTAATTTATTTTATCGATTCCTGAAAGCCCCTGTGCATTTCTATACATTTTACTTGGGCATGATACGGGTGATGTGTGACGTCGCCAATGTCACGTGATGACTGCTATAGTTGGATATGCCTTCCATAACTTCCTATACGGTATTGGGTTTGTTCATTGTTGAAGGCCGTACAGTGACCTGAAAATGTTCACATCTTTGTCCTGTTTTCTTTGATACGGATAGTTGTCTTATTGGCAACCATACCAAATCTCACTATTTTCATATATAGAGAAGGTTTTCACTCTGTGGTTAATGTATATTTATCAACTATCTGCGGTTGTACGTCTCTATCTTACTAATGATAATTAATGCAAATACCACACTTTCATCCAGGAAATATATACATGTATCTAAGAAATATACATTTGTTTACCTATCCTTTAGTTCGCCTTCTCTGTGGACATCCAATCGAGCAAACATTATCTGGAATAGCATTTTTAATTTTTATCAAACTTTATTTAAATCAAAATAAACAAATAAATATATGAATAAATAAATAAATTGAAAAAAAACCGAAAATACATTTTCATATTCCCATTTGGTGATATCTGAAGGTTCAAAATAAAATTAAAGATAAAGATTACTTGTATACGTTTTTGATATTCTTAACTAAATTTATTTAACAACATAATTAACCAATGCAATTGAGGTTTGTTTTAATAATCACATAATCCAAACGAACTAAGAATATTGTTTGAATAATAATATCTACTGTATTTACGTCTTACCTTCTCGTCATTTTTAAACAACTCAGCTAAGTCATCAAACCATTCTACTTTGTCTTTATTCTCTACAACATACATACTTCTTTATACTTATTGATCATCAGGTTTGTACTTACACGAGCAACACGACGGGTGAAACATGTGGAGCATGATCTGCCTACCCTTCCAGAGCACCTGAGATCACCCTCGGTTTTTGTTGGGTTCGTGTTGTTCAGTCTTTAGTTTTCTATTTGTTGTGTTTTGTATACTTTTGTTTGTCTTTTGATTGTTTTTCTTTTTTTTTAACCATGGTGTTGTCAGTTTGTTTTCGACTTGTGAGTTTGAATGTCCCTTTGGAATCTTTCACCTCTTTTTTTACTCTCCTCTCAAAGTTTTCATATTTTATTAAAGTTCTAGACCGATTGTTTTCTGTTAATTAATAATCGAAGATGGTGGAAGATATTCGATTTACCTTGTGGTGACGTTTTATAATTCGTGCCAGGTTTTAGTTTGCGTTGCTCAATCACTAGTATTTGCTGTTCTGTTTAAACAATCATTGTATATCTTTGTATTTTTTTTTCTGTTTTAAAATACAACATTTTTATATAAGCCCTGACGCTTTGTTACTTTTATTTTCATTTCAGTTGTAAGTATGGTACACGGAGAGAAAATTATGAGCATTTGTTTTAATCGTAAACACTGTTGGTATCATCTTGATCGGAAAACTGTTATTTTAGTACTTTATTTAAAAGGAAATATAAATAACTATATCATACCATTTGTATACAACAGCAATAATTTGCATTGGCGAGGTGTATCAAGTGTATCATCGAAATTGGCTTTATTTATTTCCACAGTGTAATGTTTGTCCATATAAATAAAGTCTCTCTTTGTGACATCACTGATTAGTTGTATAATACTATCAACTGTTATATCTATTTTTGCCCTGGAAAATAAAATATAGGCCACAAATGATTACACATGTTGGTGATTCGTTTGTTTTTACGTTGAGTCGTCTTTCAAGCCTAGTCTGTTTGTGGAATTTCATTATTTCATCGTGTGTTATTCGGCGATTACCACTTAAAAGACTAATCTTTCAAATGAGGCTTGGTGAAAAGTTTTATTATGTTACCTTGTAACTGAATCGACCTACCGAATACGTTAGTGCTAAGTATTGACCTTCTTACACTTTTTTTCTTGTTTGTCGTTCTACTCGTAGTTAATTTAATCTGTTTTACATCTAACTTTGACTGATTAATAATTATCTTTGTCTGTTTTACTTTGTTCTATAGACCATATTTTGACAACATATGTACGTTCATAACATTTGTATGTGTAGCTTTTTGCAATTTGCTAAAAAGACTAAGGATGTTATATATACATGTAGGTGGCTGCAAGACATTTTAACAATGAGCTAATGAATATTCACACTTTTCCCTCTGAATTGTTTTTTTTTAATTTTAATTGATTAGCTAGATATTAGATATATAGCCATGTTTTGAATAATTGCGTTTTGATATCAAAATTAGTATTACATTACTCCTTGTATCATTGACCTCTGCAGCAAAGAATCCAAAGAACTGGCCAAGTCTACAGATAAATTGTTATATTTGCAGTTAGAGTTATCATTCTTTTATCATAAACACGGTTACCTGCCGTACTAACCTATTAACTTGATATGAATTAGCTTTGAAGTAGATTAGCGATGGAAATGTATCAATTTCTAATGTTGCTGCAAGTCCAGTATGCTGAATTCTCCCAAACCTTATTTCCTCTCTGTCAAATGGTTGAGAAGCAGCCACAAACTTTGAATAAGCAAGATTGCATTCATGACAACCTGAAAAATGCAACCAATCTGCTTATGATACTTCTTTTTTCCTTCATAAACATGAAATCAATTAAATATCGATAAGTCTAAAATCATATATTTCTGAATTTTTGTTTTTAGGCACCCTGTGGTTTGTATGTATTTTACCGTCTTAACTTTGATAAGTTAGTTTAAAAAAAACCTAAATAATTTGACTTATCCGGAATAAATTCCCCGCAAAACCCATAAAATAAAGACGTTTCTGTTTGAACCATAATCATAGAACGAGATTAAATTGAACTTACCATTTGTTACATATATTATCAAGAATTTCCCATCATTCTGAAGCTGTGAAAAAATAGATATTCAAATAATTATAATAATAGCAATTTATACTTTTAACTTGAGAACTAGTTTTTTTAAGTTGTGTACATTTTACTGTTCATTAGTATCACCTCTTTCAGTATTGAAAATATTTAAATACCTGACAAAATAAGTTAAAGTAAGTAGTAGGTAAATATTTTATTATAGTGTCACAATCAAATATACATTATCATACACAATATAAAAATATTCAAAACCATATAAGATCCCTCCTTTAAGACACATGAGACACTTTCATCCTTTTTAAAATAAAAACATATATGCTATAATGAAAAATTCAAAATCAATATCTAGATAATAAAAGTAGATTTCATACGATACTTAACATGTCAAATACTCGTTAAAATTCATTTATACATTTAAAAAGATACAAAATTTACAAATTTATCTTCCTACGTTTAAACATAAGATGCAATGTCTTTACTAATAAAACTTGAGTATAATCACAGTTCATAATAGAGTCAAACTTGTCATCAGAATTAAAACCATTAAAAGAGTTGCTCAAAACATCAATACAGTTAACAAGTTCTTCCCTTATATCTGAGTAAAATTTACAGTCTATTAAAAAATGTGTTTCGGTCTCTTGTAGCATCAGTTATGTCAAGTTGCCATTTTTTTGTCGTATATCTTAAAAAAAATTGATGCAATAAACACACCATAAACCTTTTCAAAGAAGAATATCAAGTTTTTTGGTAAGGTTTTTACGTATCTTAAGTGAGATATGGAGTATACGTAAATGGGATGGCAATCCAAACAACACATTTATCACAAGACATCTTGGGTCAACATGCAGACTTCAACAATAGAAAAGTGTCTATATATGTTTATAATAAGTAAAACTCTAAATCGACCCAGGTCTAGAAATGATGTGAATTTATTCAACAGAGACTATATGAACGATCAACAATTAATACCCTTTTTTTTTTACTAAATTACAAACGAAATTAAGATACAAACAAAGACAAGCACTGACGAGGTTCCTGACTTTTGATAGATCAATAGGTGTTTGTTTACGTTCAGTGGCAAACAGTTCATGCATTGTCGGTCCGAGAACCAAAGAGGCACTAACGAGGTTTCAGACTATGGCTAACTGATTGCTTGTTGTTTGCTTTACGTCCAGTGTCAAAATGTTTGCGCATATTCAGGAAGAGATCAAATTCAACAACAAATCCATGTATAAGTTCTATTCAAAGTAGGTCGCCCGGGATGAATGATTTGGATTTCGATAGCAGCTAGAAAATGATATGTTGAATAGGGATAGAAATTAAGCCTTGCAACATGCCACCTATGGACCTCTCAAATAGGTGTTACAAGAGTTTTTTAACACGCAGAGAGTGTGACCCTCTTCCTATATACAGAAGGCATTGGATTAACGTCTTCACTCCGACTGAACGTAGCTACGTATTTATACAGTCAACATTGCTAAACGTGGGGCTCTCTTTAGCATGTTCTTAAAACCCGAATGGGAGAAGTCCAATAATAACCATATTTCTATACCCCAGTCAATTCTTTGGATTTCTGACTTCGGACATGCAAGTCAACAAGTATATAAAAATAAGGAGATGTTTTATGATTGCCAATACGACAACTATTCACCAGAGTTCAAATGACGAAGATAAAAGCAATTATAGAATACCGTACTACCTTCAACAATGAGAAAATCTCATACCGCATAGCATGTGCATGAGTTTTTTACACGTAGAAAAAAGGAAAGAAGATACCAATTTGGCAATAAAAAATCCTTAGTCGAAGAAAACCGATAACACCATAACAATGAAATTGAACTTGCGAATAACAAACCACAAAAAATTACGGAAAACTAAACGGCAACACAAACCCCAGTAAAAGAGTGAACTCCGGTGTTCCGGAAGAGCGACCAATTCGTGCTCCACATGTAACACCCGTCATGTTACATAATTCATGACGGTCAACCAACTCAAGATTTAGTTCGCAAAATTTTTGTAGAAATGAGTTGAACCTTACCATTATAAACTCGATTTAAAAGATTGCTTGCTACCATCTACCCTCTTTCGATTAAGGAAACCGAAGTGCTCTTTTGGGATTAACCGCCACAAGGGAACTTCATTTATAGATACATTTGTAGTTTTCCTATCAACAACAATCTATAAATAAATCATGGTCAATTTGGAAATCTACAGGTCGGATGATACCTTTATATATACTTGACAAACCGTTCTCATCCTAAAATGGTATAAATCCAACGGAGAAGTTAATTTTTACATACAAAATAATAAAACCGCTTACCTTTCGGAGAAGGTTTGACCCAGATATCTCAATTATTTTCAGCTCTGCTAACTGTAAAAAGTACACTAAAATAATTTTGAAATAAATATGAAAATTCATTTTGATTAACTGAAATGACCAAAAATATTATAAAAAGAAAGCTATCCACGTGGTTATTGATTATGATAACATTGTGGACATCTGCTGCAGCCTTTGTGTATACCAACTCCACGTGTAGCCCTACGAAGTTTTACACACGTAATCAATACAAATAGATATGATTTATAGATTTTGATTTTCTGCTATAAATGAGATGTTATATTGAATATTTTAATCATTTAATTTGATTCTTCTATAATGTATTAAAAGGATTAAAGAAATAACTGGTGTTCCTTCTTGAAAGTTTTAACTAATATAATATCTTTGTTATGTATTAATAGAATTTAAGAAATGATTCATGTACCTTAACATTTTTATAAAATTATCTTCATTATATTTAAAATAAGTAAAGGTAATATTATTATGTGAACCAAGACCTGGAATAATAATGTTGTGTACATTAGAATAAGCAGTCGCGGTATGATTATCAAAAAGAAGGAAACTGTAGATACAAGTGGGCCACTTAAAAAAAGACGGAAAAAAACCACAGATAATAAAATGAACAAAATAAAATAGACAAAAGTACAGCAGTTCACAAAACTCTTCATGATAAACTAAAAATGAGTAATACGATTTCATCCAAAACCGGGAGTAAATTCGGTGCTCCAAAAGGGTCAGCTTGCATTTCGACTTCTCAAATGAAAGACGAAAAGTTCGTAACAGCTTTTGAAAATATCCAAATCTTTCCAAAATCAAAAAATCCATGCATTTTAATGTTGCATATACATATGAAAACATATGAATAAAAAGAGATGTGGATTAGACAGCAACGCAATCACACAAAATACCAAAAGACTTCAAAAGATCAACATACCGGTCTTCAAAACATTGGCAAAAACAATATATCAAGCTTTAAATCGCCACAATTCTATAAGGTTTAAATCGCCACAATTCTATAAAGGTTTAAATCGCCACAATTCTATAAAGGTTTAAATCGCCACAATTCTATAAAGGTTTAAATCGCCACAATTCTATAAAGGTTTAAATCGCCACAATTCTATAAAGCTTTAAATCGCCACAATTCTTTAAAGGTTTAACAGAGACTATCAACGATCTGCCATTAAATCCGAATTCCTCAAAGTACAAGAAACACTAAGACATAAATAAAGACAACAAATGGACAGATTCATGAACGTGCGGAGGTGTAAGCTAGTTAGTTAACATTTAAACCCGCCATCTTGATCTGTTTAATAACGAAAGGTACATATAGAGGGAAATAATGACAACTCGGATCAAAGACAACTCAGATCAAGAGAACTCAGACCAAGACAACTCGGACAAAAGACAACTCAGATCAAAAGAACTCAGACCAAGACAACTCGAACCAAATACAACTCGGACTAAAGACAATTCAAACCAAAACAACTCAGACCAAAACAACTCAGACCAATGCAACTCGGACCAAAGACAACTCAGTACGAGAGAACCCAGACCAATACAACTCGGATCAAATACATCTCAGACCAAAGCAACTCGGACCAAGACAACTTGGACCAAGACAACTCGGACCAAAGACAACTCAGACCAAGACAACTCGAACCAAAGACAATTCAGACCGAGAGAACTCAGACCAAAGACAACTCAGAACAAGAGAACTAAGAACTAGACAACATGGATCAAATAAATCTCAGACCAAGACAACTCAGACCAAGACAACTCAGACCAAGACAACTCAGACCTAGACAATTCAGACTTAAGACAACTCAGACCAAAGACAACTCAGACCAAAGACAACTCAGACCAACAGAACTCAGGCCTAGACAACTCGGACAAGTGACAACTCAGACCAAAAGAACTCAGACCAAGACAACTCGAACCAAATACAACTCGGACTAAAGACAATTCAAACCAAAACAACTCAGACCAAAACAACTCAGACCAATGCAACTCGGACCAAAGACAACTCAGACCAAAGACAACTCAGTACAAGAGAACCCAGACCAATACAACTCGGATCAAATACATCTCAGACCAAAGCAACTCGGACCAAGACAACTTGGACCAAGACAACTCGGACAAAAGACAACTCAGACCAAGACAACTCGAACCAAAGACAATTCAGACCGAGAGAACTCAGACCAAAGACAACTCAGAACAAGAGAACTAAGAACTAGACAACATGGATCAAATAAATCTCAGACCAAGACAACTCAGACCAAGACAACTCAGACCTAGACAATTCAGACTTAAGACAACTCAGACCAAAGACAACTCAGACCAAAGACAACTCAGACCAACAGAACTCAGGCCTAGACAACTCGGGCCAAAGACAACTCAGACCAAGACAACTCAGACCAACAGAACTCAGACCTAGACAACTCGGGCCAAACACAACTCAGACCAAGACAACCCAGACTAAGACAACTCAGACCAACAGAACTTACATCTAGATAACTCGGACCAAAGACAACTCAGACCCAAGACAACTCAGACCAAGGACAACTCAGACAAAGAGAAAACGGACTATTTTTTAAAACAACTCGGACCACTTTATAAAACAATTCGAATCAGTTTGAAAGACACCTTAGAAAATGTTGAAAGATAGCTCGGACCAATCTGAAAGACAAGTCAGCCCATTTTTCGGACTTTTTACTAATGTCTGAGCCTAAAAAAGGATCTCATCATTAGTTGGATCGAAATTTTTCTCCTCATGTGTAATGTATAGAGAGGCGATAGATACCAAAGGGACAGTCAAACTCATACGTCGAAAATAAACTGACAACGTCATGGCAAAAAAAGAAAAAGACCAAAAGACAAACAACAGTACACTAAACACAACATAGAAAACTAAAGACTGGGCAAATTAAACCCAACAAAAAACCGGAGGTGATCTCAAGTGCTCCGGAAGGTAAGCAGATTCTGCTCCACATGTGGCACCCGTCGTGTTGCTCATGTAAGTACAAACCCGGTGATAGTTCGGTAGGTTACATTCAGAGAAGAGGGGGGCGGGATTATAGACATATATAAAGTTGCATACATTTTCAATGGGTTGTTGTTTTGTTGAAGCAAAACTGTTTTCCCATTTCAGAACATCGCGATTCATTCCTATTAGTCGTTTTACTTTTATTGGATAATAGTTTATTCTTAGTAGATTTGTTTCTTTTTTTTTTCTGTTCGTATTAAAAAAAAAGTGCATTTCTTTCTGATCGTTGTTTCTTTAAGACTGAGATTTCGGTATCGTATTATATGTTTAAAATAGGGTCATTAAAATACTAGTATTCAAAAGTTGAATATAATAAAACTTCTCCGTGAAAAGTTTTTTTTTACGACTGACGAGGTCCAAGGTGCTCAGCGACCATTCTTTACACTGACGAGAAAAATCAATCGCGTGAACGGATACATTTATAAGTACAACACATGTATCTTTATTCTCAGATGTATGGTCGTCTTTTCATTTGGCAAACCACTCCAAATTTATAATACGTGTTCTAATGAACCTTTCAAGACTGTCCATCCTGTCTTTTATAAGTGGTACTAGTTCTCTTTATTAATGGCCCGAGTATTTTTCAAACCGGTCCGAGTTATCGTAACGTTGTTCCGAGTTGTCTAAGGTCATAGATAGAGGGGCACAAACTAAGTATCAGTTCAGAAAAAGCAGTTCTCTAATTCTTCGTTAATTCATCCCTTTCTGCACCCATTATATAAAAAAATTTAACCAACGTGTGGTTCGTTTGATCTCAGTTCTTCATTGCTTAAAATCCGATTATGACGTCGAATTTTCTTGCTTTCCTCTGAATTTCCTATTGTGACGGCATGAAAAAAGGCGACCATGCCTGATGACGTCACATAAAAGGAACACATCTTTTTGCAGATCATCCTAAAAGAAGGAATAAATTTGCCTGCATATTGTTTGAAAATCGTTAGAGAAACAGATTCCACCACCAAATCTCGTGTAATACGATATTTATCCACTCTCGACTGTTAAATTTTAAATATTTAAAACGCTCGGCGAGCCTCGCGTTTTAAATTTGAAAATTTAACTGTCTCGAGTGGATAAATATCGTATCACACTCGATGCAGTGGTAGAATCTATATTTCTCATATGAGAATACGGAAACGTCACACCATCTTTTGAAACAAGCCAGATATTTCATACAACTTTTACAAGTGAAAAAAATCTGTCAAATAGACGTCGTTGCACGCCAGTCTTATTGACGCAAATGAAACATAAAATTAGCATTTATACAGATAGATGGTGGTGCTTAATGAATGCATGAATGGTGCAAACGGATATCGACCGATCTGTGATCCGAGTGTTTACTGAAGTTACTTGGTTAAAAAATTATTTTCAGCAGTTAAACTGTCCTTCATCAGATTTCCTTTTTGGTAGTAAATTTTGCAACAACTTTGGGACTGATTTTTTCTCTCTAATTTTAACTTTCTTCTATTCCTTTTAATTGGTCCGCAATCGTACAATAGTTTAAGACAACAACGGTTAAAAAAATAGTTTTTCATATGTATTTCAAAAGAGAGGCTATAACTCGTTATAATTTGCCATCAAATCACATTTGAAATTGAGAGAGATTAAGATGACCACACAAACTCTATAAAGTAATATAAAAAAAGAAACACGTACTCGGATGACACGGAATTCAAGAGAAACATCAGCTGGTATTTGAACAATGAATTACAATTCAAGACGCAGTATATATTTTATCTAAAAATCTGAATAACAAGCACAAATCACGAAATTTAACCAAAGACATCTATTTTCTTATTAATAATTCATGTTAAACGATCTTTACTTGATGAAACAAAAACTAAAATACGAGAAGATACCCATCTAAGTTTTAGCATGAATTAATCTACTGATGACATACATATCAATTTTGTGATAACTGGTACCTACAGCAAGCATGGTGAACAAGTACGATGCACATCTAGGGTATGATAACTGGTACCTACAGCAAGCATGGTGAACAAGTACGATACGTATCTAGGGTAGAATAACTGGTACCTACGACAAGCATGGTGTGATAACTGGTACCTACAGCAGCATGGTGAACAGGTTTTAGCATATATATTTATGAA